CGAGTATAGGATTGCCACGATGCGTTGCTAAACCACCAAGAGTTAAGACATGAGAATGGTCGGCCGTCACGACGATGAGAGTTTCCGTAAGGTCGACCTCATTTACAACCGCTCGAACTGCTTCTTCTAATGCTAATGTTTCGTCTAGAGCGCGATAAGCGTTGTTGTAATGATGAGCATGATCAATTCTACCGCCTGAAATGTAAATCGAATGATTTCCTTTTCAATGGTCTTCATAATATCTTCTCTCTTCTCTCTCTTTCTCTCTCTCTCTCTCTCTCGCTCTCTCTTTCTCTCTCTCTTTCTCTTTATCTATCTATTTTTCTATCTCTATTTATCCCTCTACCTCTATCATTTCTATTTTTTTGTCACGCGTTGAAAAAAAAAAGAAAAAAAAAAAAAAATAGAAAAAAAAAAGAAGAAAAGAACAAAAAAATTTCATTTCTAGAAACGCATCGAGATTTATGGCACGCGTAAATTGAATAAAAATTCGAGGGACTCTCCCGACCTTTAGATTGATACGTACGACGTGGTGTTCCGAGATAAGGGAATGCAAGAAATATTTTTCTCAGAGTTCGAAGCAGCAAGCAGAAAAATCATCCCAGCTCTCGGCATCGTCTGATTCCAACGTGAAAATATCACTTTTTTATACCCATTCATTTCTTTTTCCTTTTTTTCCCCCGTGAAATGGAAAAATCAGCTCGGCAGAAGAGAAATAAAAATTTTCTAACGTGAAATAGGAAATAACTAGAAAAATGGATAAGTCGAGCGTACAGAGAGGAAAATGAATTTTTTCCTTTCTTATTTTTTTGTTTTTTTTTGTTTTTTTCCTTTTTAAATGGTAAATTAAGAAAGAAAGAAAAAAAAAATAGGAAAGAAAGAGAAAAGGAAAAAGAAAAAACTAGACGACCGAATGACATTATTATTATTATTATTATTATTATTATTATTATTATTATTATTATTATTATTATTATTATTATTATTATTATTATTATTAGTATTATTATTATTATTATTATTATTATTAGAGATGTTCTTACGTTGAAATTTTTTATATATCTTAAATACCGATTTATTTCGTAACATCATTTACGCAATCGTACACAGTTATACGAATCGCAAGTGCATTTAATTTAACAATAATCATCGAAGTAATCTATCTCTTTTAACTTGTATATACGCATAAATAATAAATAAGAAGATTGTAGTATATAGCTTACCCTCTACAAAGAGAAAGTATCCTTCCGGATTCTTTGCGAGAATATGCAATGCCTTCAACGTCATCTCTGTTAGAGAAGGATCCCCGGTACCAGTTGTGTTGCGATCCACGTCAAAATCCATATGAGAATAAGCGAATAGTCCTTCAAAATAAACGTAACTATGTATTTACGTGTTCTCTATCTTTCTCTCTCAATCTCTCTCTCTCTCTCTCTCTCTCTCTTTCTCTCTCTCTCTCTCTTTCTCCTTCTCTCTGTCTCTTTGTATACAGAGTATCTCGTTTATCTGGTGAGGAATTTTGAAGCTACAAAAAAAAATTTGTTAATAGATATGTTTCTTATGATGGAGTAAATGTCATCTAATGTCAATATTCATTCATTATAAAAAATATCGCTACGTTTGTAATATAATCTAACAGTACGGCAATCAACGATAAAAAGATATTATTCCTTAGATATTAACAAATGTATAACATTTAATTAAATAATGTGACATTTATCCAATGAAAACATTTATAATATAAAAAATATGATTTATAATATTTTTATAACAATAAATTCTCACCTCGTATGGCAGATCGTTGATATCGTTTCAACGAATGTCATCGGTACGATGAAAAGAAAATATATAGTTTTATTAAAAACAAAAAAAACAAAAAAAAAGAAAAAAAAGAAAGAAAGAAGTAAAATAATGAATTGGGCTTTGAAAATTTTTTCTATTGTTCGTCCTGTTAAAAAGAAAAAAAAAAGATATTGGCACCATATGATGTGCCCCATCATACCAAACAAATCTGTAAAAAAATTTTTTTGATAGGTTTAATCCTTCACGAGATATTCCCATTTTTCGAGATAAACGGGACGCCCTGTATGCACCCGCGTGCACACACACACACACACACACACACACACACACACACACACACACACACACACACACACGCACCCACGCACGAACGAACGAATCCACGCATATATGTATGTATGTATGTATGTATGTATATATGTGTATGTACGTATATATTTATGTGTGTTATTTTCAAACGTGACTTCTCATGCCTGAAATAAATATAGTACTTTAACATACTGACATATACATGTATACACATATGACACATGTGTGTAAAATGGAAGGATATATACAAAAGGAGGATAAGCATGAGCAATAAAAAGCGAACAATACGAATAGTTTGAACGTATGTATAAATTGCATCGTCATTAATCCAAAAACGTAGAGAAAGATATTTGAAGAAAAACATCAACAGAAAAAAAAAAATGAAACAAAAAAATCCACCCAAAAAAGAAAAAAAAGAAAAAGTCAATAACTAAATTAAATCCGCAGGAACGTGGATTGTTTGGCTTTTTATCTTCATGAATCGTGACGCTTTTCTCCTCTTTTTTTCGTTTTCATTTTTTTTTTTTTCATCGCCATTCGTATGTTATGATTTTTTTTAATATAGTAGATCAAAATCAACGTTTTTTTTTTTCTTAATTTCTTTTATTTAATATAGAAATATTCGAGTTTACCTAATAAGTAATTAACTTTTCGAACGTCAACGCTCTCAAATTGTTCCTTATTGGAGACGTATCGCGCGGAAACTTTCCGCATGCGATTGTTCCGTGACCATTCCTCAATTAGATTTCTACCGTCTAATCGTCTACCCTCTTTGTCCGGTTCTTCCGGGTCCAAGGTCACTTTGGGTACAAAATGACGTCTCCCACCGCCAAGTATTACCTAAAAATTCAAGAAATCATTGTCAACGAATTAATCGGTATATATTAAATATTACATATATTCATCGATAAACCTGAGTTATTAAAGTAACGTGATTTAAAGTTAAAATGAAGTTAAAATGCTGGAATATAAAAAGTGAACGTTTCGATTAACAATGAGCTTTTGTTTCACGTCCGAAGGGCAATTGAAACTAACTACAATAGTGTGCTCGTGCAAATGCACGTTAACATTCCCGTACCAATTTAATTCACTTTATATGAGTGAATCTAACTACATACGTAATATCGCGTATCGAAGAACGATGAATTATCGTTGGTTCGATGAATTTGCTTGTTGGATATGAACGAACGAATCTTCTCTTGCGTTATACGTTTGAAAATGATTAATAAAATCTTTTAACGATTCAATGAATGTAAATATATATATATATATGTGTGTGTGTGTCTGTGTGTGTGTGTATACTGTATATGTATGTATATGTAACAAAGAAGTACGAAATAAAATGAAAGAAGAGAAAAATACTTTTTATTAAAAAATGTGTAATAACATAGTAAATTAATTTTTATTCTTCTGCGAAACAATGAATTTAGCGTATTTAAAAGAAATAAAAAATAAATAGCTATTACTTTTCACTCCACGTCATCCTATCTTTTCTATTATTGCTATAATTCGTATCATTATTACTATTAATATTACTATATTATTATTATTATTATTATTATTATTATTATTATTATTATTATTATTATTATTATTAATATTATTGTTGTTGTTGTTATTATCTTCATTATTGTTATTATTATTGTAACTACTATACACATAGCAAGATTGTTAAACTTAATTATTCTCGCTAAACTACAGGATGCTCTCACACACAAGCTTGTTTTCGCTTCCTTTTTCAAACTCTTTTCTAATCTCCTACTAATTCTGTAAAACAATCCTTCCCTTTCTTTCCCTTAATTTTCCTTTTTCCAAAAATCTGTCCTGTAATCTACTAAAGAATTTATTATTCACGATTAAAAACTCTTTCTTCAAGTATCATTTACGAACCCACCACAATGAACTACACATTTCAATGTACTAATTCTCGGGATTATTCATTATATCCGAATATATTGAATCATGGTTACTCCTGAATCCGTCAATGTAACAATAAAACTCTCTCAAAATCGCGACGATATTTAAATTGTTAATCGGAAAGAAAAAAAAACAAATAGATCACGATTTTTTGTCAAATAATATATTGGATCGACGTATGAATATATATATATGTGTGTGTGTGTGTGTGTGTGTGTAAATGGCATTAATAAGTACAGAGTTAATAACACTAAAATGAAACTTATTTATAACTCAACTTGACAAGTTATGCGAAATTAAAACAAATCTACGTGAAAAAAATTAAAAATTTTAATTATAATATATTCCATTTATAGGGCTAATTCATAAATATATATTCTGTAACAAGAGTAATGGAATTTATTACATAATAAGACAAGTAAGAGTAAATGTAAAAATTAAAAAAAAAAAAAAAAAAAAAATTAAAAAATTATAATAAATTTATCTTAGATATGAAGTAATAAACTTCTTATTTATATAATTTATATTATAATAAATCTAAATTTATTATGTAAAAATCGTGAGAAAAATTTGAAATCATCACAGGTGATTAAACTTGTACCAAGATTTAAACTCTCGATTTATGTTTTGGATCATTAATGTAAGTTATTCGAGCCATCAGGTCAATCTCACGAATAATAACTTATTAAAAATGATGGTGTTTGATTTCTTACTTATATAATTGTAATATATATCGCGAATAATTCCATTATTTATAGCGATAGATATTCATAAATTAACCTAACACATATATTAAAATCGTACGTAATATCACGTTCGTTATCAACATCATTGTACATAAGTATGTGTGACGGAAGAAATTCTATTTTAAATGTTTTCAGGATGACGCAAATATACGACTATTTTCAATGTTTCTTACTTTATTCTTAACGTATTCACGTTTATTAGATTTTAATCTGATATAAAATAAATTTCATCAACAATTTTTTGCGTATACTTTGAAGAAGTTTGAAAAAAATCTAACACATAGATCCACGATAAATGTTTCCTTCCTTAAACTCACACATCTGATATCTGAACGTGATAACGTAAACATAATAATACGTTTATATTTATTTTTATAATTTTGAATAAGTTGTGAAAAAATATATCAGGCCTCTGCTCACGTTGATATTACGTCCGGGCTCATCTTCAAGAAGTTGTCGAGCGATATCTTTGCAGGAAGGACGAGACGCAGGTGGAACTTTGCCATCATCTTCCCAATAACGACTTGCTGCATGAGCGTAAAGGGCTGCTGGTGTTGCATGCGTGACTCTTGTGGTTGTAACCAAGCCCGTAGATTTGCCTAAAGAAAAAGAAAAAGAAGAAGAAGAAGAAGAAGAAGAAGAAGAAGAAGAAGAAGAAGAAGAAGAAGAAGAAGAAGAAGAAGAAGAAGAAGAATAAAGAGAAGAGAGAAAAAAGAAAAAGGTCGAAGATTAAGAGAGAAAAAGAAAAGAGAGAAAAAAGAAAGAAACAAAAAGAGAAAAAGAAAAGAATAAAATAGGACAAAAAGATAGAAAAATTATGTCAATCACGTAACGACGTTATATTATTCATATAAATAATCAAACAATGCGTGCACTTGCCTTGGCCCTGTGCCCAATTTATGAGTGATGGGACGCGCGCGTCGAAACTCGAGTAACAATTTTCAAAACGAGCCGAGGAATCCAAACCCACCGTTTCATAATTCGCTTTAACGCCACAAAGCAATGCTGTCGCGCACGCCGATGATTCCCCGACTTGCGCATCCATGTTGTAAGTCTGAAAATTGTAGGATGGAGTAAAGGATAAAGGTAATGATTTAAATGTTGAGAAATATTTTATGAAAGTATATTTCTTACTTCGTTCATTAAGAAATTATTCTATTCTAAAATAAATATTGAAAGAACATGACGAAGGTGTGTATGTCTCTATGTGTGTATATGTATATTGTTATGTGTATGTCTGTATGTATACATTTATGCGTATGTGTATGTATATATACGCGTGATTAATTTACTTTAATCTTGACTTTTATCTTCACAATGTTTTATTTCTTAATTCCTATGTTTTTCTATTGTCTTTTTAATTTTTATTATCATTTATCATTTATTTTTATTATCATTTATCATTATGTATATACTATCTTAATTCATACATACATATATATATATATATTCAAGATAAAAGATACAAATATAAGAACCCATACGTTATTTTTTTTTTCGTTTCGATTATCTAAATACCTCTTTTATATCTCCACTAATCCGATAGAAAACTATTTTAAGTATTATGTCATCGTTGATGCAAAAAGATATAAAGATAATAATAATAAGAAGAAAAAAAAGAGGTATACGACAAACGTAATTCTTTCAGGCATCACATGCAGACGTTGGGGTTTTCGTCGTGAAGTACAAAGGCGTCATCTATTTTCCATTTTTCTTCACCGGTTTAAAAAGTACGAAAATAACGTAAGTAAGTACTATGAAAACGCATAAAAAAAAAGAAGAAGAAGAAGAAAAAATCCCCCCAGAAAAGAAAGAGAAAAGGGACAAAAGGTAGAGTACCATAAAAGACACGCATCATTATCATAGGAAATGCCGATCGATTTGAATATCGTCGGAAAACAACGATGAGAGAACGACATTGATGATGTTGTTGCTCGCCTGTTCATCGGGAAAATGCTTCAGAAAGATTTAGCATGAAAAAGGAAAGAAGAAAAAAAAGAAGAAGAAAAGTAAGGATAAAAGATAGAAAGGAAGGAAGGAAAAAAAAGATAGAGATAAAGAGATAGAGATGGATAGATAGATAGATAAAGAGATAGATAGAGAGAGAGAGAGAGAGAGAGAGAGAGAACGAAATGTACGGAAAAGTAGACCACAAGGCTTTGTCCGTTCCATCGAGAACATACGATGCGTCATAGTCGTTTATTCGTGGTATAGAATATCTCCCTATCTACCCGATACGGAAATATTGATAAGATAATCGATCGTGAACGTTGCTCACGTCAAGATGTTGTTACGGTTTATTGGTAGCAGTGTGCACACCTTGCCTAACGATGGACGGGAACGCGAGAATGTCGAAAAACGAAAAGGGAGGAGAGAATAAAGATCGAAATTCCGGGCGTTGTCCAGAAACTAGGGAGCTGGTTAAAATGGAGGAGAAAGAGGACGTGGTGGATGCGGAGGAAGAGAGTGTTTCTGTGGCACAATGTATCCCTTCGTCGAGCGAAACCCAGCAGAGCGACATGGATGGATGGCCGTTCAGAAAAACAAAGTGAGTAACTATGCTTGGCTCAAGCGATTCGTCTCATAAAATCGTGATAAAATCAAAATCTATTTTTTTTTTCTTTTTTTTCTTTTTTATCTAAATCTTGAATATTCATTCCGAATCAATCGATTCTCAGATAGATAAAATATGAAGAATCGATTGGTTAATTTTTTCTATTATTTAAAACTATTATTTCACATAGTTTCTTCTATCAAATAATTTTCATCGACTTTTTATTCGTACGTAATCAAAGAGATTCGTCGAATCTAGAAAAATTAATTGTCGAAAGTATTTTTTATTCGATTGTTATAAATGTGTTGTGCCTATATTACGAATCAAAAAGGATAACTTAGCTTTTTTTTTCCATCTTCTTTTTTATTTTACTTCCTTCTTTTTAATCAATTTTTCATTTCGACTGAAGAATAAATTGTCGGAAGTATCTTTTATTCGATAATTGCAGAAGTTTTGTCTAAATATGACAAATTAACTGAATCACTATGATTACTAAATTATTCGAATATAACAAGATATATCTAATTTAAAGAATCAATTGTCGGAATTATTATTGATACGTATCGTTATGTTATATACGTGTTAAATGAATATGACGAAAACTCGAAGAATCTTGATTAATTCAATTGTTTCATTAGGATATTCAACTTAATTTTGATTAATCGTTTGAATGAGATTTATCTAATCTAAAAAATAAATTCTTGGAAATATTATCGGAATAATCATTATGTTATTGATTATATTGATCGTTGGTTATATTGTCGAATATGATAAATCGATTGAATGGCTTAGCTACTTCACTATTTCATTATAATTTTCCAGCTAATTTTGATCGACAATTCGAATATAAAGACATTTATTTAATCTAAGGAATCAATTTTCGGAAATATCATAGATACGATCATTATAACATATTGTATACGTGTTATATGAATATAACGAATTAATTGAATAGTTGATTTCATTATTTATTTCATCATATTACTTCATTATTTCATTAAAATTTATCAGCTAATTTTAATCGACTATTCGAATATAACAAGATTTATTAAATCTAAGGTATATATCGTTGGAAATATTTTTGATTCGATAGTTATAAATGTGTTGGATGAATATGACGGATTAACCGAATGGCTTGGCTATTCGTGGACTTTCCAAATCTTTTCCAGCTATTCCGATCGACTATTCGAATAGAATGAGAATTCTCGAATCCAAATAGTTCGTTGTCGGAGGTATTACTCAAGTGATCCGATTGCTATACTCGTTTCGATATAAAGAATCTCGCTTGGACAAGTTCGAGTTTCTCGTACTTACTCGACGTGAAAAGATAAGAAAAAGAAATGTTTCGTGAGAAACTCTCGGAGTTTTTCGCTCGTTTCGTACGTACATAGATAGATACTTGTGAAGGATCGATCGATTGAACGAACGAATGAACGATCGGTCGATCGATCGATAGATAGATTTAGTTGACCAGTAGATCGATCGTCCTAATCGCCGAGAGAAAGACGAGGCCTCGATGCGAAGATAAAGTTCGATCGCACGTATGGCACGAACCGCGAACTTCCGTGATAAACGTTCAGAATCGATTTCAGAAGTTCTCTTGCTGATCCATTTGGAGATTTCGATCCAAGTTAAAATTAAATTGCTAACCGGATGATTCCCTGCCACTTACTACATCCACGTCTTACTCTTCCAAGCGAGATTACAGTTTTGCACGTGAGTGGTAAGTTACCGGGAACGTATTATCCATGGCAACAAGAAGTTTAGAGATTATTATTACGTTTCGGATTGCTTCTGTTTCCATTTAATCAATGATAATAAGATTTGTCCTTAAAAAACATTAGAATTGTATTATTCTCCTCAGAGATACAAACGACGGAACAATGTCCCAAAAAATCGTCCAGGTTGATGTCGATCCAAATGCAGAAAATTATAATATGTATCACAAGAGAAGGGGCATTGCCTTGATCTTCAACAACGTTTACTTCACCAAAATGACAATCAGAAAAGGTTCTGAAAAGGATTGCAAGGATTTAACTCAATCTTTGCAGAATCTAGATTTCGAGGTCCGAATATACGAAGATCCAACTCTGGAAACGATTTTTACTATTTTACGAAAGAGTGAGTATGATTTATCAAAGAAATCGCATCGAATTTTTCGAGGACGATTATCATTTCTATTATTATTATTATTATTATTATTATTATTATTATTATTATTATTATTATTATTATTATTATTTATTTAAGCGTAGTCGAATAATGATTTCGAGCTAACTCGTTATCCGAATTATTAGAGTGTAGAAGTATGAATGTATAATGATCCAAAGGATTTCAATCAGTCTCGAAATGTATTGGTAAATGAAACAGTCCGAGTTTACGAATGAATCCTTTGAAATCATCGGCTTTTCCTTTCTCTTTTCTTTCTTTAGTTAGTTAGATGCAACGAAGCAAAAGAAAGGATAATTTCTTACTCACCTTAGACCGAAGGTATATAACAGTTTATTTGTAGTTCGTGACATGAATATTCCAGGACGTTAAGTGGAATACACGTTTACGGCGACCAGCTGTTAATAATTACAACCTTCCGCGTGGAAATCCAGACCCATCATTTAACCAATTTTCCTATGTATATATGTACATATGTATTATATGTTTGTATTGTGCTATACGTTGACGTATGTAATATGTACGCATGCACAGATGTATGTATGTATGTACGTATGTACGTATGGATGTATGTGGATATATAGATGTTTTTTGAATCTTTGACCAACTCAGTTTTAATAATTACATATGTTAACTTGAAGAAGTATATATATATATATGTATATATATATATATGTAGAGAGAGAGAGAGAGAGAGAAAAAGGTGGTAGGAAGTAGATAGATAGATAGAGAGAGAGAGAGAGAGAGAGAGAGAGAAAGGGGGTAGGAAGTAGATAGATAGATAAAGAGAGAGAGAGAGAGAGAGAGAAAGGTGGTAGGAAGTAGATAGATAGATAGAGAGAGAGAGAGAGAGAGAGAGAGAAAGGGGGTAGGAAGTAGATAGATAGATAAAGAGAGAGAGAGAGAGAGAGAGAAAGGTGGTAGGAAGTAGATAGATAGATAGAGAGAGAGAGAGAGAGAGAGAGAGAAAGGGGGTAGGAAGTAGATAGATAGATAAAGAGAGAGAGAGAGAGAGAGAGATGAATTAAAAATTTCCAAACTTAAATGGATCATATCGAAAAAAATTTCTTCAAAACGCTACTCCTAAATGAAAATTTATTATATCGTCAAGATTTCAATTAAAATGCCAATTAAAAATTGAACATCCGCGGTGGAATGAAATTCTCTATCGGGAAAAAGGGAGAGGTACAGGTTGCGAAATGCATTACTGAATTTTTTCCGCATTGATATTTTCTATCCTTTTACAAAATTTGAACTATTTTAAGGAATGAATAATAATGAAATGCTCACGGTTCCGTTTCATGATAACATTTCCTTTTAATTTATTTTTCCGCTTTGCTTTTTTCTTCTTCTTTTTTTTTTTTGTTTTTTTTTTTTTTTTTTTTTTTACAATATATAAATCGCACAGTGGACTCTTTTGTTCTTCGCTCTTACGGATTTATTTCTTTTTTTTTCTTTTTTTTTTTTTTTTTTTTTTTTCTCTAAATTTGACAAAAACAAAAGCGATCAGATTTTACGGTTCATCCAATACATATTTCGTAGAGAAATCCTTCGCGTTCTGATATACGTTGATTATTTATAAGCGAGCATATATTTCACGGAAGCTTTCAACCTGAAATATATACTCGCCACATTCGCCACGAGACTGAATTTACATTCCCGTAGCAGAACTATCGGTGATGGTGATGGTGATGGTGGTGATGGTGGTGGTGATGGTGATGGTGATGGTAGTGGTGGTGGTGGCAGTGGTAGTGATGGGAGTGTGAGGAAGAGGAGGAGGAGGAGGAGGTGGAGAAGAGTTGCAAGGGAAAAGAGGGAGGCTTGGTTGGTAATAAACTTCGAAATTTATAGCGCATCCTCGCTATCGATCGAGACCAAGCGAGGTTTAGCCTTCTTCGAGAGGAAAGAGAGAACGTTGCGGAGCGGATGTTATTAGCAAAGACGTGCGCCTTAGAACGACGATGCTCGTGGAAAATTGGTGACGGGGAGGGGGTTAGCCGGAGGGGAAGGCAAGAAGGTCTAGGTGCGCGGTAGTCACGATTAGAAGACAGAAGCAATTGCGCTAACGCCGTAATATCTGTCCTTTGTTTCTACGGATAATCAGAGTTCTGCGTTCTCGTACAAAAAAAAAAAAAAAAAAAAAAAATAAAAGAAATGAACAAAAAGAAAGGAAAAGAAAAAAGATCGCGCGTATTCGTTCGGCCGAAATTACTTTTTTCTTTTTTTATTGTAATTTATTTGAAATCGTCTCGTTAATGCATGTAACTAAAGAAAAAGAGACTCCTTTCGACAACGTACGAATAATGCCAGATAAACATACAGAATATTATATAGTATCCCGATTATTATTGTATTCCAAAATGTATCTATATTTTCCAATCGTAACATTTTTTTTTTCTTTTTTTTTTTTTTGGTGAATCATTAATACATCGAGTTGTCAAGCAACATACATCACGTTAATGTATTTCTCTCACTTCAGTATCGTGTCTCTTACGATGATTTATGATTATTAATGAAGTTCTCTATTTAATCGAGACAATATATATATATATTAGGTGGACCGGAAAGTAATGTCGTTTTTGCGCACGTCGATATTTGATTGTGATTAAAAATAAAAACTTGTTAAAAATTTATTCGTTTGAATTTAATTTAAGAAAGCGACATTACTTTCCGGTCCCCCTAATATATATATATATATATATATATATATATATAATAATGAAATGTTTAATGATAATACCATACCAGTGAATGGTATTAAATTAATCAGGCTAAGATCTTGCAAATTTTATTTCGTTAGAAATCTTTTGTTTAATTAAATATTAACTTTAACAAATTATTTAATTTCTCATTATATTCCGTCATTCATTTAATAAAGATTAATCAGAACGGTTGGAATTAAAAAATGACAAAAAGGAAGTCGAACGACAAAAAAAAAGGAGCAAGAAAAAGAAAAGAAAAAAAAAAGAAAAAGAGAAAAGAAAAAAAAAAAAGAAAAAGGAAAAAGAAGAGAACGCTAATTTAATCAATCATAACGTAATAATATTCGCATTGATAATTGAATCTCCTTTATTCCACGTTAATTTGATGTAAATATAAAAGTGCACGAAAGTACACATTGTTTAAGACGCTAAGAGAAAGCGCGTAATTCGCGGGTGTAACTGAGGAGGAACGATACGAACGCAATCTGAACGCAATCCAAACGCAAGCACGGATACAGAAGCACAGCTATAAACCCTTTGCATCGCATTCCAGATTGCTCGTTCGTTCGCTTGCTCGTTCGCTGGTACTCACTCGTACTCGGTGCCTATTACGGTAAACAGTTCTCCCCCGACCATTACCACGTAGACTACGTTGAATTAATTAATCCTTTCATTAAAGCCTCTGCGGAAGACCACACGGATGCCGACTGCCTGATCGTAACGGTCATGTCGCACGGAGATTCTAATGCGTTACATTCGGCGGACAGTGTCTATTCCCCCGATATGCTCTGGACACCCTTCACTGCTGATCAATGCACTACTCTAGCCGGGAAACCGAAATTATTCTTTATCCAGGTAAATAACAATTCATTTCTATGTATTATACTAATTGACATATTCGTCGAATAATTATTACTTGGTTGATTATGATCATTATTATTAGATCTCGATACAGATTGAAATGTATTCAAATAATAATATTTACACGATCATTATGATGATTATACTGATCGTTTGATCGTGAATTTCTCTATTCAAGTATATTCAATCGATAAGCTCGTTTCGATCATTACTAACTTTGTATAATTATTAGATCATAATTCGAGGTATAACGTGAGTATTTAAGCAATAGATTTAACTAATCATTAGAGAGATTAGATGATACGCGATTCATTGTGATTATATATTTTTGATATCTTTAACTGACATATCGATCCAATCATTTATATATATTTATATATAATGAAATTTGTACGATGATCGATCAAATTTAACATTTAATTTTCTTTCCTCTTTAAAAATGTCTGTCATATTCCTTTAAAGAAGTTTATATACCATGCTCATAAAACCATCGGTTGGGTCATTATAAAAGCTCGTAGAACCGTTTAGATCGTCGGGATATGGATGCTGATCTTGCTGGACCTTTTACGGGCTCGTATCTTGAGAAGGTCGATCGTAAAACACGCGTACACCGTATGGTTTATTTGTCGAGATCTGCGGTTTGCTTTCTCGAGTTTGTTCTTGCCAATGGGAACGTCCTAGTAATTTTGATTATTCGACGATATAAAGTACTAAATGGAATATTTAATAACTAGCATGAACCGACCTGAACTTTTTCTCAGTTTCTCGATATTTCCTCTCTCTCTCTCTCTCTCTCTCTCTCTCTCTCTCTCTCTCTTTCTTTTTACCCTTTCCTTTTTTCTTTCCTTTTTCTCCCCCCGTCCCTTTTCTATCTCATGCTGTCATACGTTCTTGAACGATAAAAATTCGTAAACAGAATCGTAAAGGAGCTTTCGAGTTAGAATCCCTCTCGTTTGTTCATACTTTTTTTTTCTTTTTTACTTTTTTTCTATTTTTTGTTTCTTTTTTCTTTTCTTTTTTTTTTTTTTACTTCAGGCTTGTCGCGGTGATCAGTTAGACAATGGAGTTATCGTTCAGCAAGCTGGCTATAGAGACGTTACGGATAGTAGAACAGTCGATTCCTATAGCATCCCAACGTTCTCTGATATCATGGTGGCTTACTCGACTCAGGATGGTACGTATCCTTTAACGAACATACACGTACGTGAAGTATATCTCACGTAAAGGTAAGCTGCTTATTTTCAATGTTATCCTCTAAGACGAGACAAGGAGAAACCGCGTTAAAAATTCTTGAATACATGCACTGAAACATGAGCGAATCTCTCTCTCTTTCTCTCTCTCTCTCTCTCTCTCTTTCTCTCTCTCTTTTTCTCTAAAGTATTATATAATCATCTTTCGGTGACCTAAATCTTCTTGAAAATAAAAAAGGCCTTTTAATGAACAAAATATTCAGTATTCTTTTCTCTCTCTTTTCTCTCTCTCTCTCTCTCTCTCTCTCTCTCTCTCTCTTTCATATAAGGTTTTATAAAAATATAATAATTAACGGGTTCATTGATTAATAGTATGCGGTTTGAAGTATTATCCATCAGTAAAAGAATATTTTATTAAATCACGATATTTATATTATTCTGTATTAAAAGTTATAGTAGATCGATTTTGTTGGTTGACAAGAACGTGAGAAAGAATTTATTATCGATGTATATGATACAATGAACTACTGATATTGAATATTTTATATATTCATATAAAATATGAAGATACATATATATTCTTCGAGCATATATATCTAACATTTGTATATGTATATGTATATGTATATGTAATTATTTTCTATTTGTCATTATCATAAATTAATTATGAAATAAAATATCGAATTCAATAACGAAATTAATATTTGAAATATTCATAATATAATTTGTAATAATTTCAGTTTGTTAAT